CCATGTCCTTCAATGGTGAATATGCTTGAAGCATGTTGCCCAAATAAAAGCAGTGCCAGTTAAGAAAGAACAAAGATTGAAAACAAAGCCCTTCGGCAGAAATCCCAAGAGTCAAAGGAAGGGTCTTATCTACTGTACAAGTAATTGATCCACATCCACCCAAAGCCCAGCTTTATTCGAGTTACATCTATCTTTTTCATTCTTGAAGCAATTATAGAAGAGAAATGCTAGAGTGTATATATGACCAAATATGATCAGTTTGCGGGCCTTCATTGTAACAATACTATAACTAAGATGTAATGATTTGATGTATATATATGAAATGTCTGCGGGATCACAAAGCAGAAAAATATTGCAACAACTACCATTTTCCAATTGTATATGATGCATTGGCTTGGGTACCACCACTTACTGAATCCCATAATAGACAACAATAATTTTGCTAAATCATGTCTTGTTTGATGGTATATTTACCTACCAGACCACTAAAGTTTAGAATTATGCGAATCAAATTAGTGGGATTATTAGCTAATTAATTTTCAGGATCAGGAGTAGCAGTACTGTTGTACTTCTTTTTTCCCCATGCTGATGATAAATTAACTGAGAATTTCCATTTTTAAAACCATTGACAAATAGGAAATTAGTAAAGAAAAAAAAAAGCAAAAATGCAGTCAGAAATTTTCTAAGCTGTAGAAAGCAGAAGCAGCTGCAAGTAAAAGATAATAAGCCGAACACGCTTGTCATGGATTCCCAGGTCGACCTACCAGAAGGAAACCTGTATGTACCAAATCTGTCAGTACTCTCTCCCCATGAGCATTGATGTCTGCATCTCTCCCCCATCTTTTACAGCAAAAAAAGTACCCCACTTTAATGACTGTTTTCACGTGAAAACTCTGCAAATGTGCCATCCCTGCAACATAGTCCTATCGATCTTCTTCATCATCCTTGACCCCCTCCCCAGAAAACCCTAGGCCATATTCTCTTTGTTTTTTTTTTTTCTTTTCGTTTGTAGCAGGATCATTGGCACTCATAGCAATATCTACTTAAGGCAAAGGTAGGCTTGTATAAATTTCTCAGAGTTCTCTCCTTCTCTTTTTTTATTATAACCCTTATAATTCTTTTATTAGATATAGTTGAACTCAAGTTGCAGTACAAGTTATAACAACATTATCTATATGCTACTATAAATTAAAAAGTAGCTCTCAAATTGTATACAAAGAAGCAGAGAAACGAGTGAAGTCATCATTTTGGCGATGATGATCCATTGAATCAGAATACTGCTTTGCATTACTGATACTTGAAGATCACGGCACAAATTTATGGAGGAAGTTAATAGACAACCAGGAAAGCCAGGGAGAGAGCTTGAAAAAAAAATCAGAGATGGAATAGTCAATACTGGCCGTACTTCTGCCAACATAGTAGCATAATAACGCACCTCCTTAATATGTAAAACCTCGACCTTTGTTCCTTGGCCATGGATAAGCACCTTTTCTTCAAGCTTGACGTTTCCTCCTCCTCGCAACGCTCTTCTTCATCATCTCCTGTTGATGATGGTGCAGAGTGGCACTGACCCATGTTTGCAACTCGTGACCGCAATTAAAGACTTACAGGAGCAGAGGGCAGAGGGTGTCGATGAGTGAGATTACTTGCAGTAGACCGACCAGATGCCCTTAAATGGAGTTACCTAATGGACCAGTAACTCTGTTTTGTGGTCCTCGACTTCTCGGTATCTACAGGCTGTCTCCTTCCCTATACTTAATGCATGCTCTCTCTCCAAAATCTACTATCTTCCTTCTCTCGATGGAAACTGAAACTCTCTCTTGCACTTAATTGCATATACAATTCAAAGAGAGATATCAAAAGTAAATTAAGTAGAAACCCAAAAAAGTTGCGAATTCTGATTTTGATATAAGTATAATATTTGACACCCTATTATTGGCTCGGCTTGGTGCATGTGTGTAGTTGATAACTAAAGAAAATTACCTTCTAAATTTTAAATGTTCTTACATTGATAATTGGAGATGAGAAAGAAGAGTAAAACTTTCAATATTCTTTAGACCCTTGTGTATGCTTTTCAAGATTTAAATGGAAACCATATTTCATACGTATTTCTCAACTTTTTAACATCTAATTAAAAGGGTAACCTACCTCTCAAGCAAATTAGAAAGAACCAAAAAATGTAAGAGAGTATTAGCTAGCTATTTCAACTTAAAGTTTGTTCACATTCAAGATATTTTGACATAAACAAAGTCCAAACCAAAGACTTTTACTAATTATGGCTAAGACATTTTACCTACTATAACCACAAGTTCAACTCAAAGAAATACAAATGAAAAAGAATTATTTTTTGGTTTAGAAGAGAGAAAAAGTTATCAATATTGATATTTAAATTTCAAATCTAATCGATGTTATCTTTTAAATAATAATTATATAAATTAACTAAGTTAAATTCAAATTTAAAAGAGAGAATTAATTTTGAAAAATAAAAACAAATAACATCTATATATAGATATATATATATATAGTAGACCATTTTCTTCACTATAATTTGTATCTATCATCACATCATTTAAATATATCATCCCTTCAATAAAGAAAATTTTGCATCTAAACCCCTCAAATTGCTTCACACATTACTTTTTTTAAATAAAAAAATACTTTTTTTTAAATATAAAAGAATAATCATAAAAACCATTTTCATCAATTACTTTTACCTTTATTTTACAAAATAAAAACATAAGTGCATAACAAATTCAAGTTTGCTGGTTAAATATTGTTAGCTATATTTTTTATTTTATTTTTCGACTTTTTTTTTTTTTTTTTACTTTGATACATATTTTCGCCTTTTATTTGTTTTCTCCAATTTAGAAAAAACGATTGAATTTTTGGTGATGTTTCGATGTATGAAATTCGCAGTGGATGATCAGGGATCAAATTTTGCAATGGCGAAAAGTTCCTTCAAGCTTGAACATCCTTTGGGTGAGTTTCATCGATCCCTCATTTTTATCTGTTCTTTTGTCTCTTTTTTGCCTTTTAAGAATTATTTTTGAGGCTTAGGCAGAATCTGCAATCTTGATGTGTATGGTTTCTTGGAGAAAAAAATATGCTTCCGGTTAAAGCTGTTCCAATTTTTGAAAAGAGCAACATGAAACATGAAAGTTGTCTCTGCTGCTCTCGTTCTCTGGTCTGATTAAGCTAATAAATTTTTCTTTATACTTCTCCTCCTGTTTTAAAACTTCTAAGTCTCAGAAAGGAGGCAAGCTGAAGCTTCTCACATCAAATTATCCCTTTCTGCCTAACATTTTCATCTTTGAGAAGAACACTCTCCCTCCTACTGGTGAGTGATAATATGTTAACTTCAAGCGTTATAACCTGTTACAATTTGTTGTTCTGTTTGTGAGGCTTATTTTTGCTTTTTAATTTGGTTGCAGCTGCCTTGATGTCTGCAATTTACGAGGAAAACAAGGATGAAGATGGGCTTCTTTATGACTTACAGTGTGGAGAACACATTTGGTTCCCCTTTACTTTTAGCATAATGCTATCAGTCTATGTAAAGAACCAAACGGAAAAGTGTAAATTCTCGGTGGTGCCACTTAAGTCAATGCTCTGTTCTTGACAATGACGGTTTCTAACTATCTGAACTTGGAATTTTATTTTCTATAAATTGAATGGCTAAAATTAACATTATCAGTGATTTTCAATTGTATTTTTATGGTTTTAGTTATGGCATTTTGATTCATTTAAGATTATATGCACGTAGATATTGGTACTTTGCCCATTAAGGCTAACAAATTTACTTAAACAGTATCAAATGCTCAAATTGGATCAATGGTTAGGGGGGTAAAAATAAAGCATGAGTGTCTTGATCATTGAATGATCGCAAAGAAAAGAATCGTGAGGTGAGGAGACAAACCAATAGTTGTTTGATATGACTCTTCTATCTCGCATGATTGTCATCCAGCCATTTTCATGGGTAGGGACTGGATGGGCAGCTCCATGTATCTACCCTGTAAGAAATTTTCTATTGCTTTTAGGTGCCATAAATTGGAGAATGTGGTTCCCTCTATAAATGAATGAGGAATACATCTAAGCCGTGCTAATTAAGCTATTCAAGTGCATATATTTTTATATTCATTTGTAGGTTTCTTTTTCTGGCATTTATTCCTGACCCATGTTATGCTCTTGGATACCCCAAGCTTGAATTTCTTGGCTCCCACCAGTGCCGCTGTTTTGGCTTTTATTAAAACCCATTTTTTCCTTTGGATTTCTTGTTCCCATTCTCTATCTTGGATGTAGCGTCCTCAACTTCCATGGCATCAACTCCTCCAGCACCCCATGGATCAGCCCAGCTTGGTGACTTACTCGCCATAGAATCTTTGTATCTTTTCAAAGTCAAAGCAAGGACACAAGTTTATGGAACCAATCCCAATGATCATAACCGTGTCTTAAATGCAACAAAGCAGAAAAATGGATTTTATCAGAAAATGTCAGCAATCATTTAAAGCTCCCTATCTTTAAGGCTATAAGCTAAACAAAAACATTGATTCAATCCCGGAAAATCATGCCATGTTTCGGATTCCATGCAAATGAACTAAGTTGTAACTTACTATATCTGCATTCGAGGTAGGCGAAGTGATTCAATCGACGCATGTTAGTTATAATGTTGGAGACATGCTGGTACATGTATTCTGTCCAGGTGAAGACTATTGTATCATACTAACAAGGCAACAACAGATTTATCCGGAAAATTTATACAAATTATGGGGCTTCAGTTTACAATTCTAGGTTTTCTCATCATTACTACAAATGAATGGTCTATCTTTACAGATACCTTCTATGTTTGTAAATAGGGGCGGCAAACAAATTTGACATGTGAGCAGGAATCGCACAACTTGCTGCAAACATATTTAACCAACCACTACACCCTTTCGGTCCCAAAGATTCACCGACACCCAACAAACCATGCTCCAATTGCTAATGATTGAGACAAGATTCTATGTATTGAATGTGCTTTCTATCCAAGAAATACAAGGAGAATTCATTAATCCTTTTAACTTTATCAATATGTCCTACAGTTTAGCAAAACAATGAACCCAAACGAATGTTTTTCAATACTTGGCCGGAATAAATGAATTATTGCCAATGACTCTTTTCCTAGGTGAAATAAATAGGGTGGGAATACCAGAAAGAAGTTCAAGGAATAGTGGATTAATTAGTAGAGACAAGCGACCTTGTTTAATTCACTCACGATTTCACCTCAAAATTCTCATCATCTCTTTAGCAACATGCTGCCAACAGTCACTGGCACTAATAATGTAGTGATGATTGCTTCCAAATAGTGGGATGGTGAAGTGTGATGTTGAGTCCTTTTAAGTGGTTGGGATTTAGTTAAGAGAGAGAATTAACCTACATTTATCATGTAAGTTCTGTAAAGTTGCCATTGGCCTGTTTCTAATTTCATGAATAGGCAGGTCATTGCATATAGTAGACGTCATTCTGGATCAAATCTTTTAAATCATGAAATCTAAATTTGAAAACTTTTTTTTTATCATTTTGTTTAAACTTTAAAGATTCAAGAAAATCATAATAAGAATTACTACAATAAAACAAAATTGTGTGCAACAAAATATTTAATCAACCACTTTAGCCTTTTCCGTCCAAAGTGTTGCCAAAGTTCTCAACAGCCAACAGCACCAATGATTTCCAGCAGGATTTTATATATACACTGTAAATTGCAAGTTGCAACCCAATCAAATTCTAACATGGCGCAAGTCAGTAAACCAATCTGTTTTTGAACACATTTCACTTTGATTTCCTGGTGGACTTGGATTTCTTCATTTTCCTGGACTTGTCATCAACACTGGTCCAAGTATATCCACTAGGAATAGCAAAAGGATCTGCTTGTTGTGCCATTGAAGAAGAACTACAATGCTGCTGCTGCTGCTGCTTGCTCGCAGACACTGATTGACTATTGCTTCGCCTCAACCATGCCGTCGACGACCACGAGGAAGACGATGATGGTAATGATGAATTATGCTTATCAGATTCTTGGTCCTCCTCTGTTTGGCCTCTTCCTCCATAAGAAAAATGTCTAGGACTTGACAGTGGAGTGTAGAATTGCTCTGTTGATTGGAGTTCAACAAATTTTGTGAAGGTAATGATCACCCTCACTGTTGGGACGACTGGAATTGCAACCTGCCCCACCAAACAAGTAATCATGTTTTTAGCCGAAGTGCCATACCAATCAAAAACAGTTATGACCCACCTCGTTGTCTCTAACTACTCCCTATTTCAATACAATTACAATTCAAACGGTAAAGGACAGTTTAACGGTTGAACCACCCAAACACATTGATCCCACCTGATTCCCTGGACATCCATGATCATCACACGTCATCATCATTGGTTCGTCCACATAACGACGATGGATCATGTGACTCCGACCGATAATAAAATCAGGGCCCGACGAGGCAAGCCTTGTATGAGGAAAAAACAAACCTCGGATGATGTGGGTCGCAATCACCGTTGGATCTAAAACAGACCAATGGGAGAAGCCACGTCAGCGAATCCAACCGAAGACGGAGTTCTCCCAAAAAAAAAAAAAAAAGCTTCTCCACTAATCAGAGAAGAAGACAAAGCAAAGTGATGGTCACTTGCTTGCCTAAAGCATCAAAAGACCCAAAAAAGAGACACCCTCCTAAGGAGACATGCATCCACGTGGACCAACATTTTTAAGAAAAAAAAAAAAAAAGCAAAACAAAACAAACACTTCCTTCTTACCTTGACCGGAAATGTCCCCGGCGGGAATTTGGTAGTCAACAATTCTCGCAACCTTCGAACAGCTTTCACTTTATTAGCCAAAATGTCAAGTAACGGCAACAACTCTTCTATCTTTAATGGGAACTGTTCAGTTAACCAAACAGACGGCCGTAAACTTCTCACGTACTCTTTCTCCTTAGTTTGCGGAGGTGGCACCACCGTTGTAGTCGTCGCAAAAGTCGTCGATCTTCTAGGAGGCACAGCCGCCGCAGCTGAAGAAGGGAAAACATCCACACTCTTCCTCCCAACTGAAATCCACTCTCTCTCCTCTCTTACAAAGCTACTGTGCCTTCTCCTATCAGGCATAGCAAATTTCGGATTTTCACAAACCAAAAAACCATCATCGTCTTCGTCAAGCTCTAAAGGTAACACTTGTTCACTTCCCGCGACGTCGTTTTCGGAACTCGCAACCTTTCGTGATCTAAAGCTGAAGATCACGTTATGTATTTCGTAAACTTTAGCTTTCCATTCACCGACGCTCTCTGTTTTTTCTTGGCGTCTCCAGTTAGTTCTTCCTACGAGTTCCGCTCTGGTTACGTCCATTCCAGGTCGGTACACGCTCGTTTGGGAACAAAACCCTGCGATATCGGATTCACTCATCGGAGCTCTGGCATTTTCGAATGCGTCTGAAATTTTGCGAACGTCGCGGTTAAGGACTAGCAATGAGCCGCAAGGGATGTTATGGAGGTGATCGCCATCACCGAAAAAGAGAAAGCTTTGGTCGGTGCGTTGGATTTTTAAGCCGTCGAAGCCTGCTAATGAAGTATCGGCTCGGAGGTTACCGTCGCGTTTCCAGATCTTGTAGGTATCGGAAGGTGCAATTTTTCCGACAAATGGAATTACAGAGCTTTCGAAGTGGAAGGAGATTTCCATATAGAAGTCACGCATTCGGTGCAGGACGGCAATTAGGCGAGGTAAACGGCGGCGCCACTTGCACCAGGCGGAGCGGTGGTGGAGTTTTAGGAGAACCAGCGCAATGTCGGAGCTTCGGCGACAGAGAGCTTCCTGGAGTGGATTCCAGCCTGCAGCGTTCTGAAGCGACACGTCAGCGCCAGCAGCTGCGAGTGTTCTAGCAGCTGTGGCGTCGTTGAGGCGGACCGCGAGGTGGAGAGGAGTTTCACGGAAGGGTACGTCACGGCGATCAAGAACAGCGGAGATTTGATCTGCTACGCGCTCTTGACTCAGTGAGTCGCACTCGGAGTGGATCTGAGCAGGATCGGCTAGCTTTGGTAGAGTGGAAATCAGTCGAGTCAAAGTCGCATGATCACCCAAGACAACGGAGTAGTGGACAGGGCTGTGTTTGTACTCCTCCGGTTTGATAGCCGGAAACGGCATCGTCATGGACGCTGACGATGATCTGGACATTTTTCGTTTCAATTTTCAGTACTGTTTCTATTTGATTTCGCGAATTCTAGGGAGCCTGGTCTGAATTTTGAAAGTGAAGGAAAAACAAAATTGAACATGTAAAGGCTATTAGCATTGGGAGGGGTAAATTTGTCTTTTGGTAAAATTATTTTATGGAGCGGCGTGCAAAGAGGGAGAGGGACAAGATACACGCAATCTGGCGTGGCTTTTGTTGTTGATGCCCGAGTCTAATACAGGTCCAGTCTAAGATCAAACCCCACCACCATTCCTTTAACCTTCGGTTCATTGTTTGTCTTTTCCAGTTTCTTTTAATTTTTAAATAGATATAATTGTGTAGCTGCAGTGCATGGTACTGATGCTGTGCTCTGGTGACATCACGGGGTGTAGTTGGTCGGTCCCATTGATGTTTTACCAATCTAGCGGTTGTCTTCAATTCTTTTGAGCTACACTAATGAGATCACTGGGTCAGAGGATAGCCTTTTTACAACTCTTTTGATGCTAGTATTTTCTAAAATTTGACAGAATCTTTAATTTTTGCTCAGAATTTTGAATTCCATCAGCTCAAACTCAATCATTTGGACAATAATTACTTTAAAACTCTTTGCCTGTTATTCTTAAAAGAGAGCGAGAAAGAGAGAGAGATTGACCAAATGTTAAAACCAGGGAAGCTTATTTGGTGAGAAATTATTGGTTTGGTTTTCCCACAACTAGAATATAAAAAGGAAATGGAACATGAGTGAGCAGTGGATATACGAATTTGAACCAAAATAAATAAATGAGTGAAATCAGAAATGGAATGATTTTGTGGGGCATAAGAAAGATGGAAAAGAAAGAGAGTACAAGAAAAGAATTTTGTCGTGACCAAGCGCACCTAAGAACAGGGAATTATGTCTCCGGCAACAAGGACCAAACCCTAACGGATTTCACTCCCTACGATGCCACTGCCTTATCACCCCAAACCCAAAAAAAAATTTCGCCTCCCTTTTGCTTTGCCATTACTTTGTCTCCTCTTGTTGGATTTTTATCATCAATAATGCTGATGTATCATTTTTTTAGCATGTAAAATGATCATAGATCCAAAGGGTGATAGCAACATCATATACTCACAATCTCTTAAATTTAAGGCACTCTCATGTGCATATTCATAATGACTAGTCACTTTCTCTTTTTTCTAGCATTTCATATAGCTTACATAAGCTCATTAATAATGTCTCCTTTTTTTTCTAGATTTCTTTTTCCATATCAGGAAGGCCATTAACATCTGCTTCGAACAAGTGTAGTGCCAAAAGAGGAATGGAAAAGTGAAAATGAAAAAAGAAAAATGAACATTGGAGTTGAAGTGGGATCAATGCTTTGATAGCATTAGCTAGACTTGATAATTTGTGTAATTATATTATATTTTGTGTTAGATGTAATTGTAAACACCACATAAATAAATTTGACATGAACATAATATTTTATTATATATATTACACGTAGCATAATACGATTAATATATTTAAAATTAATTTATATTTAAATAATACGATATGATATGACACGATATTATTAATATAATTATATATGAATAATATGATCAAACATGATTAATATATTTATTTAAACAAAAAATATCATTTAAATTAGTATTTAAACAAAAAATTATTTAAGAATTGAATATTTATAATTTACCTAAACTCCAAAATAATATGATAAATATAATTATTAATTTATTTCTTAAATAAATTAAAATAAATTAAAATTTTGTATATTATAAATAGTACTATACTTTAAACGTATCATTACTGTTTGATATGAACACAATACGATAAATGTCATATCTTAAACGTATCGACATAATTAAGATACAAAATAAAATTATACTAAATTTTTATTTTTTTATTATTTTTTTATCGTATCATTATATCATATTTAAAATTATCAAATTTTATTAATATTATTGAAAAGATCATGAAGCTAGGCAGTGTCACCTTAGGCCTACTACTTAACTGTCCTATGATGCAGCCTGCTTTTAGATTCAGGCCCGTAAGTATAAGGCTTTGTGATTTTTTTGGGTTATGAGAATAGAGAGACTAAATCACAAAGCAGAGCTTATGACTATTTACATTAAGCAAGTTTAACGTATGTAATATACGAATGGCTAATATCTACTCATTAAGTATTATTTTTTATATGTAAAGTTCTCGGGATTTGGTCAATGGAATTAGGAATTAAATACAATATTAACATATTACATAACTGGCAACTCATTAAGTTTTTAGTATTTACTTTGTGGGTGAAAAATTGCAATTTTCTTAAAATAGAAAAAAATGAGATAAATTAATGTACAATTATTTAAAAATGAAAAAAAATAAGCAGAATGAATTTAATTTCTATTTTAGAAAATAGTTAAAAACTTAAATATTTCTAAAATTTTATATTTTTAAATAATCTCAATTGGTATCACTTGACTCGTAATATAAAATTCAATCAAAGCTTCTAATATCTAAATAGTGTCGATATATGATAAAATACATGGCTAATCTCTACTTATTAAATATTAAAAAATATACTGATAAAAAAGATGAGGCAAAGTTATAAACCTAAGCATAATTATTATTATTAAATTGCGCTGTTTGAAAAATGATTTTAGATTGCTAACTTCACAATCAAGTATTGGCCAAAAAGAAAAAAGGAAAAAAAATACTTAACTATCAAGTAATCAAATTCAACATCTACTGCTCATTGTTGAATTTTCAACTTGACCCATGGCGACTTGTTGACCCCATGAAACACCACACTTACAGGCAAGTACTTCACTCCGAGAAGGCACCAAGAACAACCTGATCGTCCAGGATCATGCATCTTTCCTCTTCGTTAGACTCTTACCACGAAATATGCAAGAAAATTCTTCAACTCTCTCCTTCCTGGTCCTGGATATACATGGCCACAAGCCAACAAGCCAACACCATGCTTATATAAAGAGACCCCCAAGAAATTATGCCCACCAACGTAGCAAAAACTACTACACCACTTCTTTTACAAAGAGAAAGATTCCATCTTCAGAATTCTGCAACCTAACCAAATTTCCTTGGCTCTCTTAACTAGATTCGTCAGTTGCTTTTCTGCTTCTAATAAGGTTGTTTCGGAGGGAGAGGACAGTCCACGAGCATCAACCAAAGTTAAAGCTGGTAGTGAAGCCAAATCAAAGGAAAGCAAGGCTAAGAAAAGCCCTCCAATTCCGATGACTTACTTCCCCATTGGAACAACATCTTCTCGCCTGTGAATGACTGCAACCTGCTTTAATTTCCCTGCATGCCAGCTGCTCCAAGGGCCCATATATATTATATCACCATTCTTTTTTTTTTTCTTTTAAAAATTCTATTAATTTCCTTTTATCTTCGACAATATTAATAATGTTTGTTTGATGAAATCTACACTTTAGTTATTGATTTTTTTTTCTTTAGTAGGATTAAAGGAAGGCAGTTGTATGTGCAACTAGCGGTTTTATAGATGTATAATTAAAAAATGTTAATAGCATATTATTCTTTTTGTACCAAATTATTAACTCTTTGATGTTCAATAATTGAGCCAGTCATTTACAAACTCAAGTTTGTCATGTAATTTCGTTATAGGCTTCTAGCTAGTTAATGAGTAATGATCTTTAAGTTCTCTCCTGTAGATTCTAAAAGGGAAAAAAAAAAGGAAAAGAAATCGATCAACAAACAAAATGAATTTTTTCTTTACTAAATTTCAGATTTTGCTAAATCATGTAGTATTTGAATTGAATTTTAACTTGAGCTCAATTACTTTCCTTGAACAAATCCCAGCCCAGCTGCATCTGAATGAGCTCAAATACTTTACTTTTTCCCCTTCAAAAGAGATAATGATGCAAGTACAATACGTCAATACCCAAAAGAAGCAGTTTATAAGAAAATGTGTTTTGCTTGTAAGTAATAAAATAGAGAGAGAACAAGCATCAATTTGAATAAGTAAATTAAGTAGAGGTGCAGTAGATGTAGCAAAATAACATCAATTGCTATACCATACATAACACAATGACGTCTCTAGCTAGCTAGCATATATAGTTGTTATATTTGGCTCTCAATCTTATGATGATCAGTATCTCACAGGCAAAGCAACGCCAAACAATAACATCATTGTCGACACACGGTTCTCAACTTTTGTTTTGTTCTGCATTTTTTCGTAGCGTTTAATTAGCAACCAAAGCCCATCATAGTCCATAGACATCAACATTACGAGTGCAGTGGGGACTCCGGAGAAGAAAAAGTTGCTCCTTTAAGCATATTAAAAAGATGCGTTGAAACTTTTATAACTGTAATCAATGACTTTTTTTTAGCATTGATTTTTAGAGTCTAAATGATATCTCATATCCAAATGGTTCATGAATTTTTTTACATATAATAATAATAATATTAATAACCAAATTACCTTTCAATTTGTAGAAAAAGACATTGATATAAAAATAATTGATATAAAGTAAAATGTATATAGAAAAGAAGTCTTAATCTTTAGTTCTTACCTTAGATGGTTGAATCTTTAACTTTTTCTACGAATCATCCATCGAAACACAAGTGAACTGATTATTTTACAAACATATAAGTGATATAGTTACAAATTACAAGTTTGCTCAGACAAAAAAAAAAAAGATGATGCGTGATTGTAACTCAGTGAAACAACAAAAAATTTTCATCGACCTCTTCTATTACTATTTCAAATGTAGAGTTGTAAATAGTATCCGTGGAATAATATATTAGATTGTTAACTTATTAAGCATACAGTATTCACTTTGTGGGTCAAAAATTATAATTTTCTTAAAATAAAAAAAGAGATAAATTAATATAAAATTATTTTAAAATGAAAAAAGCAGAATGAATTTTAAAATATTTAAATTTAAATTTCATTCCTATTTTAGAAAAAGCAGAAAAGTAATATCTTTAGAAATATATATTTCATTTTATTTTTTATCTTTAAATAATTTTTATTGATATCACTTAACTCGTAATATCAAACTCAATCAAAGCTTTTATATATGTAGTATAGA